GGTAGGTCTCTAAATTAGGGTCCGTTTTGGGGTCCTCTTTTTTTTGGGTGCCGTACTATATTGGGGACCGACGCAAGGACCCAAACTTAAAGAGCTACCCAAATCGCGTCCCTGTAAGGAAGGAAGGGAGGTCAGGCCATCACATTAGATCTTCATTCACACCTCTTCTGTCAAATCAGAAAATAATACAGCGGCCTCAACAATAAAAATGCGGTTTGGGGTGTAGCATACTATAACCTAACTACAAGGAGGGACCGCAAAGTAGTATAGCAGTATTGGTAATTGTTGGGTTTAGGGTTTAGGGTTTAGGGTTTAGGGTTTAGGGTTCAGGGCCCCCATGTGACCCCTTCCTGTCAGACCCCACGGCCCTGCCTACCCTGCGAGGATTGGTGGCCCAGCCTGGAGGAAGTTTTCTGGAGGGTTTAGCGTCGTGGCCTTAATCATTAGAACAGGGTTTTTGGGCTCCTTTATACCATAATTATAATAAGGAGCCCCCAAAATAGTATTGGTAAAATACCGGCTTGAACTGCATTAAACGATGATAACCCGGGAATAGTATTTCTAAGCGTTCAAGCTTCTGTGGTACTGCAGGGTTATATAATACGGCTTCAAAAACAAGCTCCTCGAGAGTCTCTACGGCTCCAAAAAAGACTCCTTGAGAGTCCATAACAAAGGCTCCTTGCACAAGTGCTGCAAAAAGTCACCATGAAGTACTGACCTCCCATACGGCTAAGGGTTTTTAAAGTCAAGTGTAAGATGGTGTAATTAGAAAGCACCCCCAGAAGAAATTCAATTCGTGCAGAGTTCATCCCATGAGGGATCCCATGAAGACAATCCATAGATTCGCTGTGGAGGCCCTAAACCCTAAACCCTAAACCCTAAACCCTAGTACACTTTAACTCCCCCGAAATTGCTGTCCAGCAACGGCCGCATTGAATTCGCCTGGCTGTACAGGCCTCCGGCCTTACCATTGAGAGGAGGGAGGGATCTAGGTCTAGGGATGTTTGGGGCTTTGGGTTTAGGATTTAAGGTTCAGGGTTTAGGGTTGAGGGCTTTAGGGTTTAGGGTTTCGGGTTGAGGGATTTAAGATGCAGGGTTCCTGTGGGTTCTAGAGTTTAGGAATTACGGTGTTGGGGTTTAGGAGGTGCAGCGGTATCTTGGGGTTCGGGTTTCGAAGCCAGGGATTTGGGGTCCGAATTATTGTGCCGGGATTTTGGTCTCTTCTTGCGGCTTTACGGGGTTTAGGGTTTAGGGCTTTTGGCCAGTGCCATCAGAGACGAAACCGCTAGCCGAAGACCCGAAACCCTTTAGCACAACTGCCTGGTTCCTAGTAGGGAATGGGGGGAACCTATGGATAGTCCCTTCTAGTAGCCCCTATGACCTATTCCCCCATTTCTTACTTTAGGGTTTAGGGTTTAGGGTTTAATGTTTAGGGTGCAAGGTTTAGGGTTTGGGGTTTAGGATTTAGGGTTTAGGGTAAGAAACAGGGGGATGAATGAGCAACCGATCTCTAGAGTCGGACTTTGGGGCGCAGAGCTTGAGGTGTTGTTGTTACCAGTCTTAGTCTTTCTTATTTTTCAGTGTTATTATTTCCCCTTGCGGCAGACAGAAACAGTTGTGGGAATAGTAAATAGTCTTGTAGTTGTAAGCAGCAGTACTGTTATTTGACTCACGGCCGTGGGAGGTTATGGCTTGCGGTTTTGGACTCAGGACACTTCGAATCGACACGCATCTGAGTGCTTCCCCTTCGAGCAGGCAAGTCCTGAAGGAGCCTATGGGGGCTAGCCCACAAGCCTGGAGCGCAATCCCAAAAACAACTGAACACCGAGAAGCAACGAATCGAGCATCCCCTCTTTCCTAAACCCTAAACCCTGAACCCTAAACCCTAAACCCTAAACCCTAAACCCTAAACCGGCCCTAAACCCTGATAATGGCTGTTCGGTTGAGACTTATGGGCCATGGGTTTAAGGCCTTTCGGGTTTACGGCTTTGGGCTGTAGGAGGGCGAAGTGTACATAGCGTTGCATGGGGCTCAGGGTCGCACATCGCCACCGCAATGTCCGGGCTTGGGGCTTTTCGGCTTAAAGGGTTTTGGGTGTAGGGCCTAGGGCTGAGGGCTTAGGGCTTAGGGCTTAGGGTTTAGGGTTTAGGGTTTAGGGTTTAGGGGTTAGGGTTCAATGTGAAGTCGCACATCCACTGCGAGAGTCCCGTGGCCTTCGGTAAGCTACACAGGATCTGGGGCTGAGGCTCAGGTTAAGCCCTAAACCCTAAACCCGAAACCCTAAACCCTAAACCCTAAACCCTAAACCCTACACCCTAAAACCCTAAACCCCAACCCTGAAGGCACCACACCCAAAGGCCGCACAAAGAAAGGAAGCGATGCCGCGATGAGGAAACAAGGCAACCCAAAAAAAAAAAGGAAGTACACGGTTTAGGGTTTAGGGTTTAGGGTTTAGGGTTTAGGGTTTAGGGTTTAGTACTCTCTGAAAGTGAGGGGATGAGTAATTATGTAGGATTTGTATGACTTGCACCCCCAGGAGAACACTCAAAACAAACACCCATCAAAATTCCTATGGAGTCCTTTTCCACAGTCCCGGAAACCCGGAGAAAAGATCCTAAGCGCGCCAAAAGCAGAACAACCAGAATAACAAAGCCCTAACCCTAAACCCTAAACAAACCCTAAACCGCACCCCGGAACCCCAAAGCCATGTCCCCCAAACCTCTCTCTTCAGGAACTCGGATAGCCCAGGAGGCACTCGTAGAGCAACCCGGAAAAGCCCCCAAACACCCTAAACCCTCA